TCACTTTTTAGCCCTCGTCGAGGGCTTTGAGTGTAACCGACAGTTTTCCCTAAAGATCAATCCATTGACCTAGGAGCATGCAAAAAATTAGCCATATGTACCTAGCTTAAGTACCCTAAAGTCTGCGTTGAAATGACCCTCTGTTTTTCCCATAAAATACAAAGATTATATAGGGAAATACAACTGGTCAGTTTTGACCGCTTTACGAAGTTTTCCCAGATATGCCGAGTTTTTTGTGACACCCCTAGGTGTTCTTCTACCACCTCACAAAATATCAAGGGGGGTCGTCGGAGGAAATTTTTTTTCGTAATAGAGCTCATATAAAGAGAATTTCACTCGCGGTCACTTTTTAGCCCTCGTCGAGGGCTTTGAGTGTAACCGACAGTTTTCCCTAAAGGTCAATCCATTGACCTAGGAGCATGCAAAAAATTAGCCATATGTACCTAGCTTAAGTACCCTAAAGTCTGCGTTGAAATGACCCTATGTTTTTCCCATAAAATACAAAGATTATATAGGGAAATACAACTGGTCAGTTTTGACCGCTTTACGAAGTTTTCCCAGATATGCCGAGTTTTTTGTGACACCCCTAGGTGTTCTTCTACCACCTCACAAAATATCAAGGGGGGTCGTCGGAGGAAATTTTTTTTCGTAATAGAGCTCATATAAAGAGAATTTCACTCGCGGTCACTTTTTAGCCCTCGTCGAGGGCTTTGAGTGTAACCGACAGTTTTCCCTAAAGGTCAATCCATTGACCTAGGAGCATGCAAAAAATTAGCCAGATATACTGAGCTTAAGTACCCTAAAGTCTGCGTTGAAATGACCCTCTGTTTTTCCCATAAAATACAAAGATTATATAGGGAAATACAACTGGTCAGTTTTGACCGCTTTACGAAGTTTTCCCAGATATGCCGAGTTTTTTGTGACACCCCTAGGTGTTCTTCTACCACCTCACAAAAAATCAAGGGGGGTCGTCGGAGGAAATTTTTTTTCGTAATAGAGCTCATATAAAGAGAATTTCACTCGCGGTCACATTTTAGCCCTCGTCGAGGGCTTTGAGTCAAACCGACAGTTTTCCCTAAAGGTCAACCCATTTACCTAAATGTATGCCAAAAATTAGCCAGATATACTGAGTTTAAGTACCCTAAAGTCTGCGTTGAAATGACCCTCTGTTTTTCCCATAAAATACAAAGATTATATAGGGAAATACGACTGGTCAGTTTTGACCCCTTTACGAAGTTTTCCCAGATATGCCGAGTTTTTTGTGACACCCCAAGGCGTTCTCCTACCACCTCACAAAATATCAAGGGGGGTCGTCGGAGGAAATTTTTTTTCGTAATAGAGCTCATATAAAGAGAATTTCACTCGCGGTCACATTTTAGCCCTCGTCGAGGGCTTTGAGTCAAACCGACAGTTTTCCCTTAAGGTCAAGCCATTTACCTAAATGTATGCAAAAAATTAGCCAGATATACTGAGTTTAATTACCCTAAAATCCGCGTTGAAATGACCCTATGTTTTTCCCATAAAATACAAAGATTATATAGGGAAATACGACTGGTCAGTTTTGACCCCTTTACGAAGTTTTCCCAGATATGCCGAGTTTTTTGTGACACCCCAAGGTGTTCTCCTACCACCTCACAAAATTTCAAGGGGGGTCGTCGGAGGAAATTTTTTTTCGTAATAGAGCTCATATAAAGAGAATTTCACTCGCGGTCACTTTTTAGCCCTCGTCGAGGGCTTTGAGTGAGACCGACAGGTCTGCCCTACGGCCAACCCATTTACCTATAAACATGCCAAAAATTAGCCAGATGTAAAGAGGGTAAGTGCCCTAAAATCCGTTTTGAAATGACCCTCTGTTTTTCCCGTAAAATACAAAGATTATATAGGGAAATACGACTGGTCAGTTTTGACCCATTTCCCGATTTTTCCCGGACATGGCGAGTTTTTTGTGACACCCCAAGACGTTCTCCTACCACCTCACAAAATATCAAGGGGGGTCGTCGGAGGAATTTTTTTTTCGTAATATAGCCCATATAAAGAGAATTTCACTCGCGGTCACTTTTTAGCCCTCGTCGAGGGCTTTGAGTGAAACCGACAGTTTTCCCTAAAGGTTAAGCCATTTACCTTAGAGCATGCAAAAAATTAGCCAGATGTAAAGACGGAAAGTGCCCTAAAATCCGTTTTGAAATCACCCTCTGTTTTTCCCATAAAATACAAAGATTATATAGGGAAATACGACTGGTCAGTTTTGACCCATTTAACGAATTTTCCCGGACATGGCGAGTTTTTTGGGACACCCCAAGGCGTTCTCCTACAACCACACAAATTTTCAAGGGGGGTCGTCGGAGGAAATTTTTTTTCGTAATATAGCCCATATAAGGCGCCGGTCAGTCGAGGTCAGTTTTGACCCCCTCTCCGTAGACTTTTCGGCCAACCGTCACCGGCCCTCGTGTTCTATCGCCCGAAGGCACCATCGTGCCAAATTTGACGCGCCTGCGGCGCCGGGAAGTGCCCTATCGGGCACTTGACCACTTTGCTTTATATATATAGATGAATCTGATTGTGATATAAATAAAAATTTGAAAGAGGATTCTAGGCACCTTGAATCTCTTAAAAATGAGCTGCAGCGTTATTTACTTGAGCCGAAAGAAGAAGAATCTTCATTAACAATTTAACACATTAACCTTTCTCTGCTTCCCTCTATTTTGCAAGCATTACCAATTAGATTCTAATTACAAGATAAATTCCTAAATTTGCCTTTCAAGTCTAAGTTCCTTTTTACAAGCTTTTATTTAACTCACTTCCTCTGTCTGTCGTAAGTCGTCAGTCGTCAGTCTAGACGGAAACGCAGGAGTGAAAATTCGGACAGTTCTACTTGACCGATACGATTCACAGTTGGCACGTGGGTCAAGACATGAAGACAATGCAATCTGAATCTAAATTTGACTTAATTGGATGCCTAATTGATTTTTTATGAATTAATTAAAATTTGGACCGAATTAGTAGGCATGTCTAGCCAACCACACCACACGCGTCATCAATAGCTGCGCCATCACGACCACGTAATGGCTGCGTTCAAAAACCATTGCGCGCCTACTGAACGTGATATTCAGTAGGCGCGCAATGGTTTTTAGTCATGTAACTCTATTGAAGATAAAACATGTAAAGTACTGAAAAAAAAATTCATAAAAAACGTTTTAATAACAAGCTTTTATGTAATGATGCACTAAAAAGTAGAAAATAAATTATAGACTACTATTTAAATAACTATAAAGAAAAGCGTGGGTGTCTTCCTTAACATTAGTAAAGGTATCCAATAGATACTAAAGTGACCCACGCTTTTCTTTATAGTTATTTAAATAGTAGTCTATAATTTATTTTCTACTTTTTAGTGCATCATTACATAAAAGCTTGTTATTAAAACGTTTTTTATGAATTTTTTTTTTTCTATAGATCTATATCTTTGAGAGAATATAATTTCAACACTTCTCCAATTGAAAACAAAACAAAAAATAATTTATGCTGAGAATGACATGAATGAGGGTGGCATTAACAAAAACTCAACCACGACTGTTGAGGCTTGTTAAAACAGTTTAGAATAGTTTTATTAAATTAGATCTAGAGAATCTATTTTCTAGATCTAGTCTAGATTTTAGATCTAATCGAGATCTAGATTTTTCTAGTAGATCTAGATTCTAGATCCAGTCAAGATCTAGAGTCTAGATCTAGATCTAGAATCTAGATCTAGATCTAATCTAGATATCTGGAATGTTAATAAAATTAGAATCGAAAATCTATTCTAACTTTTTCGCTCTTCAACTTTCTTGCAATGCCAGATTTTATTGACATTGTGTGCTTAGCCTAATGTTTGGTTAAAATTATACGTCTGCTTTAAAAATATTTAGCACATCTTTTAAAAACAAATTTCTATTCTAACGTATGCCTGGACTGATTGTAGGAAAAAAAAAAGTCACATGAAAAAAAAAAAAGTCACAAATGTGCATTCGCAAGGGATTTGTTAATATTTAAGTTTTAAATATTCAGAAAGTGCAAATTAATTTATCATAAATTAAATGCAAAGTAATGTGCTTATATGACACTTACACGTATTGAGTATGAAGTATGAAGGTTTTAATTCCGTTATTCAAATAAAATTTAATATATTGTTCCAACCTTCTCGGTTTTTATCGTGTTATTTAAATACTAACTTTAAATTTGCGTGAGATATCATAAACTTGCAGTTAACGTGACTTGCTGTCCTCAACTCATCACAACAATAGTTCAAACGCCCGTACTGCCCACATTTATCATTAATTTGTTTTTAAGCGTATTTAACTAAATACATAACACAAGTTGAGGTTGCTGTGTAAATTATGATCTTAAAGTAGTTCTTTTTTTTTTTACTAATTATTGTTATAAAACATAATGCTTTTAAATTTTATAAATGTGCTACAAAAAAAAAAAAAAAAAAAAAAAAAAAAAAAAACAATACCCACTTCAAGAAACACCCAAAATTTTACAATTTTCAACAATTCAATCAAAATATTTTATAAAAGATTTCTGTGACTTTTTTTTGTGTGACTTTTTTCCTAGCAAAACCTGATTTTTTTTGCTTTTTTTTTCTAGTGACTTTTTTCCACTCACCGCCTGGACTATCGAGATTTATTTAATTACAATTATCGCACCCTATAAAAATAATCTTACTGTTCCTCTGGGTCAAAAGAAAAAAGAGCAACGGAGAAAACGCAGAAAAAGAAAGATGGACACAAAAAATGCAAGCACAGAAACTTACACGCAGAAAATTATGCATACGAAAACTGTGCAAGTAGATCTAGATCTGCACCGAAATATATTATTATGTATATTTACATTTAAAATTGCAAACTTAATTAATTACTAGATTATTATGTTGTTATTTGTAAGATGATGTGAGAGTGCAATCTTTCTGCTTGTCTACAGGAGATAAGTTTCACTATTTTTATTTAATGACGAGTTCCACCTACCTGAAATTTGTCCATTGCATCTCGAATTGATGCTATTTCTTCTCTAGTAAGACGATCTATATCCTTTCTTATTGCTTTCTCGTACTTGCTTTTTCCACTATTGTCAATTATGGCTGGATAGTATTTAAATAAAAACTTTAAAATTGTGCCTATTTTAACCTTAAATGTAATAATATTTGAGTATTTAACATCTAATATTATCAAAGCTAGATTAATTTAATATAGACCTTACATTTATCCAGCGGGAGAATTTTTTTGCAGATATATAGGCCTTGCATTTAACAGTTTAAGCTAATAAAAATATCACCTAATTAACTTCTCCAAAACCCCACTTCTCTAACTGGCACCTGGTATGAGTCGACTCACCACATGTCTTTTAGGACCTTTAGATTGTCTAAATGGTTGTCATACTTTGCTAAGCAATTCAGTATTTTTTCAAAGAAACACGCGTTAGGTTTCAAAATAAATAAAAAAATAACTAATAATGATTTCTATGAACACATATCGATTTTAATATAATCCCTCTCTCTCATTCTCATTCTCTCCCTCTCTCTCTCTCACTCTCTCTCTCTATATATACTATATATATATACATATATATATATATATATATATATATATATATATATATATATATATATATATATATATATATACAGGGGCGTATTGAGGGGGGGCGGGGGGTGCGGACCGCACCGGGTGACACCATTTAGGGGGGGGGGGGGTAACACCAGGCAAAAAATAGCAAAATATATAGAGAAAAACTTGAGGGGGGGGTACAAAGCCTCTTGAATGCCGCACCGGGTGACACCCGACCTGGCTACGCCACTGTATATAGGGATCTATAGTATATGTATGTGTGTCTGTATGTCTTTTATGCATCACTACACCTTTCATCCGATCGTCATGAAACATTGGAAGCTGTTGAGTATGCTCCTGGTGAGGTAACTGCACGAAAAAATAAATTAAATTCGCGGGAGTGGCGCCCCGACAGGGCGCGATTTGATTCTTATCTATATACGGTATATAAAAATAAAGTCGATTACGGTTTGACACCATTCATTTGATCGCCATGAAACTTTGAGAACTTGATTAGAACACTCTAGGGGAGGTTTTTGCAAAAAAATTGTTTTAATTTGGCAAGGGCGGCGCCCCGGGAAGGTGCGATTTTTCTCTATATACGGTTTATATAAAAAAAAACTGGATGCGGTTCGATACTATTCAACCTAGTGACATAAAACTTTGGGTAGTTGATGATAATACTCCCGAGCAGGTTTCTGCAGGAAAAACATTCAATTTTGCATGGGCGATAGACTATGGATAAAATGGGGCATTATAGTGGTTCAATGAATTCAATGGAGCGAGTCCGTCGGCGCCCCGGCAGTGTTTTGATTTGGCGCCCTGGGCTATTTCGTGAGAGCTATGGTGCCTACATTCGTTTTAAAAAGTGCGATTGACTATGGATAAAATGCGGTGTTATAGTCGTTCACTAAACTGAATCAAGGGCGTTCGCCGGCGCCCCGACAGGGTGCCAATTTGTGCCCTGTAAGCACTATGGCGCCTACGTTAGTTTTAAGGAGCCTAGGTTCGTACTCTGCACCCCTGCGGTAGTGTAATCGGGGGCTTCCGATAATGCCCCTCTACGTCCATGACAATTGGGTGGTGACCAAAGTGTGTTCTACCTCACTGTTACAGTTAGTGATTAGCATACACTCAAGGTTTTCATGCGGTAGGTAAGGTAAACACGTGCCCCGATAAATATGATCCACGCGCTGGCATTGTTTACATTTAAATAACTTAGTTTTAGGAAACCAGGTCACAGTCTAAGAAAATAGAATTGGTAACACATTGATGAAACCCTTCTTGTATATTTCGTCAGACAATTTTTTGTATCATTGCGGCAACGTGCTGGGACGGGCACGCTATTTTTAAATATAAACAACATTTAAACCCCTATTACCAATACTATTATATATATATATATATATATATATATATATATATATATATATATATATATATATATATATATATATATATATATACATATATATATATATATACATGTATATATATATATATATGTATATATATATATATATGTATATATGTATATATATATGTATATATATATATATATATATATATACATACCATCGATAAGCTAACGATTTGCAGTAGGCTACCGGTGTTTTTGTAAAACAATGACTTGTGACTTACGATCTGCTTTTCCTTTGGCCGGCCTGTATGTTACTGAAGGAGTTGGTATGAGATTAGATGGGAGCTGAGTTCCGTTTACACTGTAGAGTTCAACCTTAGCAAAATAGTTTCCGTCAAGAGCCACACCAAGCTTGTTGACAGTTTTTGTGATTTCAAAAAGATAAGGCCAGGTGAAAGCCCATGGCATCTCTAGTGGGCCACCTAATATGAAGAAATCTCCGGCGAATTCGCAATTCTCATTTGATTGGCGTTTAGCACCAGGGATGCATACCTATATATATATATATATATATATATATATATATATATATATATATATATATATATATATATATATATATATGTGTGTGTGTGTGTGTGTGTGTGTGTGTGTGTGTTTTCGTCAAGTTATTTTAATCTGTAAATAAAAATCATAGGTTTAGATTTTGTATTAGTAAACGCCAGCTCTCCACAATTTATAAGACCCTTTAGAATATTATAAATATATACGTTTCATGAATGACATTATAATATCATAGTACAGATCCAATTGGCCCTAATACTTTTCAAAATATGTGTTGTGTTATGTTATACGACTGTAAAAAATATTACAATGAATATGCTGTTTCAATTGATAGACTCTGTATATGTTATCTTCTTCAGATTAATATTTTGTTTTCTTTGACATTCAACATTTAAAGCGTGCCCAATACAAAATACCCACATCTTACACACAACATACATGTCCCATATGTAAAATATACATCAGCTCTTATACTAAATACATGTACAGTAACATACAACATGAGTGCAAATTACATACACAATATATGCAATGTTATTTTCTCCGGGAAAGGGGGCACTTAAAACTTTAGGGTTGGGGACAAACACTGGATGAAGTCTTAATTTTGTAAATACATTATATATTATTTTCTATTTCCTCCTGGGGGCGGGGGTTGGGCGTGCTCCGATGGAACACCTTACAAGCATCATACCTGGCCCCTACAACATACTTGGCCCCTACATACAACATACCTGCCACCTACATACAACATACCTGCCCCCTACATACAACATACCTGGCCCCTACAACATACCTGGCTCCTACATACAACATACCTGGTCCCCTACATACAACATACCTGGCCCCTACATACAACATACCTGGCCCCTACATACAACATACCTGGTCCCTACATACAACATACCAGGCCCCTACATACAACATACCTGGCCCCTACATACAACATAGCTGGCCCCTACATACAACATACCTGGACTCTACATACAACATACCTGGCCCTACATACACCATAACTGCCCCCTACATACAACATACCTGGCCCCTACATACAACATACCTGGCCCCTACATACAACATACCTGGCCCTACATACACTATAACTGCCCCCTACATACAACATACCTGGCCCCTACAACATACCTGGTCCCTACATACAACATACCTGGCCCCTAAATACAACATACCTGGCCCCTACATACAACATACCAGGCCCCTACATACAACATTCCAGGCCCCTACATACAACATACCTGGCCCCTACATACAACATACCTGGTCCCTACATACAACATACCTGGTCCCCTACATACAACATACCTGCCCCCTACATACAACATACCTGGCCCCTAAATACAATATACCTGGCCCCTACATACAACATACCTGCCCCTACATACAACATACCTGGCCCCTACATACAACATACCTGCACCCTGACATTAGCAGACGTCTGAATGCCTTTTAAACTAAAACTTGCAAACACTCTGTCCACGGTCTGCCGATTCTGAAGAAGTTGGTGAATCTGCTCCACACTGTACCCGTTCAGCTTTAGATCATCGTACCTGAGAATAATGTGGTCATTGTTTTGTAACACACTCTAAGAAACGGATGCATTTTTTGCATTGCTTAGTAATCACACAGAAATAGCTTTAATAAATAAATTGCTTCAGTGCTATTTTACATGTAACCATATTGGGCCATTTCCGTAGCTTGGTAGCTGGACGAATACAGTCTGGTTAAATGAATCGGGTTGGTGCGTCGATTAAAAGGCTCCAGGGGTTTTTGAATTCCTCTGATGTCGCACGTTTCACACTCCCCTTTACAGCCAGGCCCTGCATGACATGAAATAACATGTAAATAGCCCATACAATTATGACAAGTTTGAGCAACAAACAGGCCCTGCATGACATGAAATAACATGTAAATAGCCCATGGAATTATGACAAGTTTGAGCAACAACCAGGCCCTGCATGACATGAAATAACATGTAAATAGCCCATGGAATTATGACAAGTTTGAGCAACAACCAGGCCCTGCATGACATGAAATAACATGTAAATAGCCCATACAATTATGACAAGTTTGAGCAATGAACACCCAGTACATTAGACAAAACACCAGCATGTAGAATCTAAGCTAGATTTGCGTTTCAGTGAAAAACTGACCAACCTGGAGTGTAGCCCCTCAGACGCTGAAGGTTTTCATATACAGCGTATATTCTATCTACGTTAGAGTGGTGTAGGAAAAATATGGGATCATATGCGGTGTATTCAAGGTGGGACATGGAGTATTTGTTACGGCCTCCCACTAGGTAGTGAATGGTGTTGTGAGCCACCTCAAACTGGACCTCAAACTGGCAGTAGTTGTGGTATTCAAGGGCATTTAAAACTTGTTCAAACAGATAAGTGTTCTCTCCTGGCTCTACCTGCAAGCGTCAAAACATTTTCAATTAATATATGACTGTTGTTTTCTATTTTTAGATGTAAGCGTAGATTTGCAAGTAAATTATTAAAATGGAAATCATGCTCAACATTTGACCACATAAATCACTAATGTTCAGTTCTTGTCAAGCTATTATTTGCTTTAATTTCGTTCTGAAGTTTAAAGGTTACTTTACACAGTGTGACAACAACATCCCCAATACTTTCTTACACTACCATTTTGGTATTGAAACATTTAGCTGTTTGAAGTTTACCTGCCTTTCAAGTTTTACTTTTGAAGTAGCAAAGTACATTTAGATAAAAAAAAAACGACATTAAAATAATTGCATAAAAAGAAAATTTTAAGAAGTTGATGGGGGACTTTTCTAGTAAAGATTTTGCAGGGAGCAGCCAAAAGATTTGCTAGTTAAAATACCAATTTTTGCAGGGAGCAGCTAAAAGATTATCTAGTTAAGATACCCACTTTTTGCAGAGATCAGCTAAAAGGTTATCTAGTTAAAAAAAACACTTTTTGCAGAGAGAAGCTAAAAGATTATCTAGTTAAAAAACCAACTTTTTGAAAAAGTCGGCTGTCCACAGCGCGTGCAGTGTGTACCACAGTGCCGTCTATGTTTATACTGCCCTGGTGCCAGGCATTGGCGCGTGCTAACCCGCCCTGGTCGTCGATAAATATCTGGCCTTTGACAAGCTCAGGTAGGTCGTCTAAAGGTTTGGTCCAGTCCCAGAAAGGAACTCCAACACCCAGACCTGCGTACAGAGGTTAATGAATGGTGGTTTACATAGGCTAACTGTGGTTATGTGAGCCTTAATGAATGGTGGTTTACATAGGCTAACTGTGGTTAAGTGAGCCTTAATGAATGGTGGTTTACATAGGCTAACTGTGGTTAAGTGAGCCTTAATGAATGGTGGTTTACATAAGCTAATTGATGGTTTTAATAAGATAAACTGTGGCCAAATAAAGGTTAATGAGTGATGGTTTTAATAATATAAACTGTGGCCAAATAAAGGTTAATGAGTGATTGTTTTAATAAGATAAACTGTGGCCAATTAAAGGTTAATGATTGATGGTTTCATAAGACAACTGCGGTCAGTCGATACTGAAGAAAACGAACAATATGCTCTAAGTTTTAATTTTTTAAAATTAAACATTTAATTTTGTTATAATTGCACAAAATAGAATAACATTGAAAAAGCGACATCAAATACATTTTCTAGACGATGGATAGGCTTGACCCCACCCACCAACCGTCACAGGATCGTGCCCATATTTTATGATACAAAAGGCATAGGTGATGGTTTATCATTCCAATCTATTGGATGGCTTGTTGATATGGAGCAATGTAATATACTACTTCCTTTAAAATTGTCTTTATTTTCTTTTTTGCGAGAACTTAACCCTTGGGTAAATAGATTCACACAGAATTAAACTCTACAACTGGTAGCCTTAAATATGACGATATTATCACAATATAGTTTTCATATAAAATTGGGTTGTAGGTTGTGTATGTGTGTGTTGAGTGAGGATAGGGTAAGGTGTAGAGAAATGTTAGGATATTTGTGAGAAGTCGGTTTATATGTGTTCTATGAGGTGGGGAGTTAAAATTTTGGAAGTGGTGTCCTATTAAATGTTTACACTTTCATTTGGTTGGGGGGCTTTAAAGTGCACGATTTTAGTGTTATACATGATGTCACGATCCTTTGTTTTATTTCATAATCAATGATTTTTTAAGCAAACTAAAACCGAATCGACTAGTTTTGTTTATTTAAGAGCTCAGGTTTATCGTATTCTACTATGTACATCTTACATAAGAAATAGATTGCAGGCATATTGCTGCCACAATGTATTGAGTTTTGAACTAATAAAATAATTGAAATCTATGAATGATTGAGTATGTTTAACGGCACTAAAACTCCGTGTTGACTATTGGTTTAAGCCGTGAAAGTTTTGTTTACCTTTCTCCTTGAGTGCCTGTTCAAACTGTACGACATAGAGACGGTGCCACTGCGGAAACACAGACATTCCATGGATACAGCATGCCACAGGGCGATCGTTATGTTTGCACTGGCCCGGGTAGCCGTGGTATGAAGCTATACTCGCATAACCTCTGGCTGTCGTGTCGTCAGCAACATTGCGTAAAGCCTTCTGCAGGTTCAAGATTTCCTCGTGGTTCAAACTCTCGACACTTTTTCTCAACAGCACGCTGTGTCCAAAGTTGAACTAAGGGCAAACAGAAATGATCTTGTCACTGGGCGTATGTGCCAGTTTTGTAAAGAGCAAACATAATTATTCTTGTCATTGGGCATATGTGCCAGTTTAGTTAGGGGCAAACAGAATTGATCTTTTTAGGGGAAAAAAGTTAATGTTACGCCTCTTCCCGCTGGGCATATATATATATATATATATATATATATATATATATATATATATATATATATATATATATATATATATATATATATATATATATTATATATTATATATGTATATATTATACATATATATATATATATATATATATATATATATATATATATATATATATATATATATATATATATCAGATTCAGGGCTCTATTTTGTAAGACATCTGTGTATTCACCAAACTCTGATGAATACCTAACTTGCATAAGGAAACTAAGACGCCTATGCCTAGTGCTGACCATACTATCCCTTGCATGCCAATGTGATTGGAACCGATGAACTCTGCTTCATCTGCCCCATGTGTCTTGGGCAGGAAAAGGAAAAGATTTAATATAGGCCCATATATATATATATATATATATATATATATATATATATATATATATATATATACTATTTAGTACTCAGCTTTGTTCCATACTGCAAATATTTGTATCAACTTAGATCTATAAAACACTTTTGTTTGATATATTTAAAAATAGTGTCTACTTACAGTCTGAGCTAATATTAACAAACACCATACAATAGCCATTTTTTGACCATTGAAAGTCAAAAATATGGACTAGTCAATTTTCTTATTGATACATTGTATTTATACTGTAACCGAGAAAAGTCTCAAGTTAGGAAAAATATCAAGACAACCAACAATGATAGTGTTTGCTCGGTTCAAGATCAAATTACCAATAGTCTAAGAATGACTAATGTAATTCTTCTAAAAGTATGCCAATTGAAAGTTAAATCTTTATACCAAAATATCATGTAAAATCCACTATCTTGTTATGTACAATCACTAGTGATATTACCAATAATTAAATATCCGAATACTGGAAACTAAAAATAGCAAAACATACGAAATAGGTTGACACAATCAACCAATAGTATTTGGAGCAGTCGTTTACTAGTGCTACAACTTTTTTTTATACAGCCCCCGCCCCCGACCCCCCTCTCCTAATTCCCCATGACACGGAAGCTGGTGGGATATAAGAGCTGATCAAATGGGCACACAGCACTATGTCGACAAGAATCTGATTTACATCGTTCAACAAAATATTACTGCGTCCGTTTTAAATGAACGAAATTGTACAGTCTGATACGCACACTCATGGGGTAGCAACGATGTGAGCAAACATTCTGCTAATGATGTTTGTTTTGCTCTTAAATTTAATAGCTACGTAAGTCCAGTTTTCCACATCGATTTAAAAACAATTATATTACATTTGGCAGTTTACATTACAATATCATCAGGGCTAGTAATTAAATTACGTTACATATCGTTACACATTGTCTGATACAAAAGTGTCATACATTTTCTTCTTTTTAATTTTTAAACAACTACTTCCTTCTTTTATAGTAATTGAGCTGAGCTCAAGACTACAAACTTAATTATTTTTCATTTTTAAAAGTCTAGGTAAGGTGCTAAATGAATGCTAAAATTCAGCTTAAAAATTGCTTTGAAATGTATGTATGTGTTGCGTCACACTTTCTTAACACTCCAACTCGACACTTAACCAAGTCTTATCCTCACCCACTCCCCCCCCCCCCACACACAGCCCGAGTGTGACGCCATTTCGTTTACGGACAGCTCCTATTATGTAAATTTAGATTAGCTTTTAATTATAGAATCAGTCAAAACATTATGATATTTTATATATATATATATATATATATATATATATATATATATATATATATATATATATATGTATATATTATATTTATAGGCCCTATATATATATATATATATATATATATATATATATATATATATATATATATATGTATATATATATATGTGTGTGTGTGTGTGTATATATGTATATATATATATATATATATATATATATATATATATATATATATATATATATATATATATATATATTTATATGCCAAGTGATTAACAAAAAATAAATAAGTTATAAAACGAAATAGCAAAGATTTCTCTCAAGTTTCTCTAACACTATCCAACAATAGCCCCCACCACATATAAAGAATGTTTTGAACTGATTGATGTATTTTTTGTTTTGCCGAGATAACGCTTGTTACATCACCTCGACTATCTAACTAGTGCGTGTTACATTACTCGTGGATACTGACTTCACAAGATATCAATGGTTTCACTTTCTCTCACTGACTACAAAAGTAGGCCGACTATATGTTAGTTACATAGTCTTGTGATTAGACAGGCAATAATTGGACATACAATAGACTATATGTTAGTAACATAGGCTTGTTAATTAGACAGACAATAGTGCGAATAACATAGTCTTGTTAATTGGACAGACAATAGACTATATGTTAAAATAGCGTCGCTAATTGGACAGACAACAGACTAAATGTTAACATAGCAACGATAATTGGACAGACAACAGACCCAAGTTGACACAGATTAGCGATCAACTCTACTGTCAACGTAATGTTTGCCAGCTTAACATTGCCACAAGAATTATTGAATGTCATTTAGAACTAGCTGTAACTTCCAGACGTGGTTCACAATAGAAGAAACACATGTTAGTAGTAGTGCGTAAGTTCAGTTTTACTTGAGTGTTGTCCAGTAGTGTCTAGTGAATTTAAACAGTCATGAATGCTTAACGTCAGAAGTTGAGTTAAAAAATGCGTTAAAGGATCTAGGTACAGAGAAATGGGTGTCATAAGAACATACCAGTTTGTGTCCAACATACAAGATATAGCAATATCAAGAGCAGACAGCTGTACTCACTGTCGGTATCGATATTTTTTTTTCAGATATGGTCATCGATTTCATATCGCACTGAAGGTGTTGGCCAATCGTTCATGATGGATCAAACAACATGCATAAAAATGTAGGCCTAAATACTGGGCTTTTATAGAATACAATGAATTTCGTAATATAGTCTAAAAGCATTAATTTAAATAAATTAAGAATTAGGATACGATTTTTAGTATTCATATATTCAGTATTATTCATGGACCACAAGTAGCTCTAGTAAGATTACATTTCATAACAGATGTACTTGAAATGGTTTATACTAGCTACATCTTCTAAATTATACAATTAGTATTTATAATTGGTCACACAAGTTACCGTTATCCATTGTCACAAACTGACAATATTTTGGCTACACAGGCCTTAGACATTAAAAAAAAATTAACTGTTTGTTAAGCAAGTAAACAACACTCATTCATCGCTCATAAATAGCTTATCGTGATTTGTTTTTTTGGTGAATGAATATACAATTCTTATTTATGCTTTTTGGTGAATGAATATACGATGCTTACTTATGTTTTTTGGTGAATGAATATACAATTCTTAGTTATGTTTTTTGGTGAATGAATATACAATGTTTACTTATGTTTTTTGGTGAATGAATATACAATGCTTACTTATGTTTTTTGGTGAATGAATATACAATGCTTACTTATGTTTTTGGTGAATGAATATACGATGCTTACTTATGTTTTTCGGTAACAAAACAAACACTCGCGAAAATCTATCATTTTGTGTTTCGAAGTCGGTATAATATTATCAGCAACTCCTATTTAAAATATTAAATGTTGAATTTCCCCCTTTGTTGTATAGCCTACTGATATAATGTCTACAAGGTGGTATTTTAAAATGTCATAATTCAATGGTTGGTTCTTCCTATTCGGTTAAAAATTAATATCTTTGATTCTACAGAATGTTTACAGCCGTTGACCTACTTGGTAACTAAAAACAAAAGCCTGGCATATACTGGTGTTTAGGGTATCACATTATACAAGTGACCCACTTAAAGACCTAGTGCATTTGAACCTTGTCTCGAGGTCTCGATGTTTCTCGCTGTCACTCTGCTTACAAAACATTTTAGTCTCGAAGTCTCGCTGTTTCTCGCTGTCACTCGGCTTACAAAACATTTTAGTCACGATGTCTCGCTGTTTCTCACTGTTAGTAGGCTTAGGAACCAACACATTTTAAAAATAAAACAACAATACATAACAGTTTGTTATGTATCGACCACTTGTGTGGCAAATCTAAAAAATAACTCAAAGTTGAAAGAAAAAGGAATACAAGTTCTATTGTATCATTACTATTTTCTTTTAATATGTATAAAGATGCCCATCCCTAACATTACAATATCTATGGTAAAAATAAAGCAATCATAAAGATATCCGCTATCGCGTTGGGTAATTTTAGGGTTACTTTGGGAAATGAATGATGCTTTTTTGTTTATAATACCAGTTATTTTAATGCATAGGCTTAGTTATAGTAAAATAAACATTGGTTAAAAATAAATGACAAATACGAATATAAAATAGATTTTATTGTGTTATAAGACAAACACAAATCAAGGAGCACAATTTCAAAGGACAAAAGCGATTGTCAAAACACGCAAGAGATTTAAAAATCAATGGAACTATTGGCCAACCTGTTTAATCTGGTAAGCAAATATTATTTCTGACCGGCTGACGTGAATGGGCCGATCCACCAGCTATAAATTCACTGCAGATCTGCTACCAAAACCCTTTTGAGTGTCTACTTTATTCTTCTATTTATGATACATGGCTACACAGTGTTTAATGGATTATATTTATACATGGCTAATTTAGCATTCTATACCGTGTTTAAAGGACAATATGTGGTGAAAGTAGATGATTCGCTACATGGTTTAAATTGTTTAGTAAAAAAAAAAAACGTTTACATTTTTATGATAAAGCGCCCCTTTGATTGTCGATTTCCTTCCTAGTTTATAGCCTAAACTTCGTAATATTAATAACAATAAACTTTAATAGTTAATAGGTCTACTACAAATGGCAGAGGTATTTTAAAGTTTTTTTATAAGTAAGATTTTCACGCTGATAATTTTGTTTACATTCTAAATAGTTTCACAAATTTGATGCTAATGATTGTACGATAGTGCTAATTGATAGACGGTTTATCAATATGGTAGCTGTCCGTCAGAAAAATTCCCCACCCCTCTCCATACGTCACCCACACCTTCACTGCTTCCATTTCTCGAACCCACGTGACTATCCATTGACGTCACCCATGCCCTATCTACCCGACTAAATTATACGCGAATCACCCGTGACAGTTTGATAGATAGTTGTCACAAACACATCTTTCGTGGACAAGAACAAAGATTTTATAAATGGCGTTATTCGAGGATATTTTTATGCAAATACTCGAAGGCGAAGCCTATTAGAAAAGCGAAATAAACGAACTATACCAATGAATCATGATTTCAATTGATGGAAAAGGATTATTGTTTAAACCGTTCTGCACTGAATATCTAAGAAATTCCATTTCAATACAGACAACTGCCCACGAGAATACGCGTGAAGGTTTATGTTGAGAGTACAAGTTGAGGAAGTCTTGGCTACTGGTGCTCATTGATTCCGCCAAACAAAAACATGCTAAAGATTGTACATGTAGAGGGTACCTATGATGAGATGCGATAGCTCCAGTTGAAAGCTGTGTCGCATTTGTTTATATTGTAATGCCATTGTCCTCCGTAATATAGTGTATCTTCATTGTCATAAATGAGATATTGTGTCGATATTGTCATACATAAGATATTGTGTCGATATTGTCCTACGTAAGAAATTGTATCGACATTGCCCTACGATATTGTTTTAGGTATAATAATGTTACTTGTATTGATACTATCCTACGAAAGATGTATCGACATTATTTTACGAAGATTATTTTTTATTTGTACTTTTCTAATTTAAAAAATCCGTTTTTAAGAAGCTTTGGTAGATCATTATCAAATCATCTATTGAATTCCCATTATCTAAAATAGACTAAATGAAACTTGCTTGCATTGTTAACCTATCCACTGACACCACTGATGTCAAGTGTTTAAATGGAATCGGCTCATATTTGAGCTTTTAAAATCTGATTGCTTGATACTATGATAAAGTACATTCTTCTATCGATGCTGACTAGAACATTGAATATTGAACCAAATGATTGGATAACGAATATTGTTATTGAAAGATGGGCGCTGATCATAATGCATTCTTTTTATTAAATATATGATGTATTTAATGTAAATCAATTTGTAGACATGTAAATATTTGGAAATAATAGTAAGAACAAAATGTTTCCTTGTCTTCTTAGCCTGCAGCTATGTTCCACCAGTGTCTGCTTGTACAGTCAACTTTGATCATTTTACTGGCACAAGGTTGGTTCCCTACAACATTTACATTTTACTGGCACAAGGTTGGTTCCCTACAACATTTACATTTTACTGGCACAAGGTGGGTTCCCTACAACATTTACATTTTACTGGCACAAGGTGGGTTCCCTACAACATTTACATTTTACTGGCACAAGGTTGGTTCCCTACAACATTTACATTTTACTGGCACAAGGTTGGTTCCCTACAACATTTACATTTTACTGGCACAAGGTTGGTTCCCTACAACATTTACATTTTACTGGCACAAGTTTGGTTCCCTTCAACATTTACATTTTACTGGCACAAGGTGGGTTCCCTACAACATTTACATTTTACTGGCACAAGGTTGGTTACTTACAACATTTACATTTTACTGGCACAAGTTTGGTTCCCTTCAACATTTACATTTTACTGGCACAAGGTTGGTTCCCTTCAACATTTACATTTTACTGGCACAAGGTTGGTTACTTACAACATTTACATTTTACTGGCACAAGTTTGGTTCCCTTCAACATTTACATTTTACTGGCACAAGGTTGGTTCCCTACAACATTTACATTTTACTGGCACAAGTTTGGTTCCCTTCAACATTTACATTTTACTGGCACAAGGTTGGTTCCCTTCAACATTTACATTTTACTGGCACAAGGTTAGTTCCCTACAACATTTACATTTTACCGGCACAAGGTGGGTTCCCTACAACATTTACATTTTACTGGCACAAGGTTAGTTCCCTACAACATTTACATTTTACTGGCACAAGGTTGGTTACTTACAACATTTACATTTTACTGGCACAAGGTTAGTTCCCTACAACATCTATTCTGTAATAAAGCTATGTTAGCTGCCTATATTTTATTAACCTTTACAGAGCATCATTGACGCCAAGGAATTACTCTATTTTATATTTAGTCCACATTCAAGTTATTGTTTACTCATTAATTTTAAACACAGTTTTTAAAATAATTTTTTTAAAAATTTAATTCATGTTTCTAAATCTATCGCATAAACACACACACACACACACACATCGATAAATAAACTTTCTCTTTCTCACTCTCTCTCTCTCTCTCTCACACGCATGAGTTTAAGAATCACTTATCCTTTACTCATCCTCTAAATTTTACATTTAAAGAAAAAAAAATATCACCTTTGGCCTAAAAAAATTTTTGTTACAATATTCAAGAATATAATGTAAGTATATTTTGGAAAGTCAGAAACGTTTGATTTATCATGCATTAGTTAAATTCATGTGTGTAGCAGTTTAATTTCGAAATCCTTTTTTTTTCCTTTCGCAGGTTCATTTTGCATCAAAGGGAAAGAATTCATTTTTGCATTTCCCAAACATAATTCAGTGGAGTCTCTCCCCTATATCAAAATCACACGAATCGAAGATGTTACAGTGAACGTCACAGGTAATTTTATTTTTACATTTAAAGACGGCAGTAAAACGCAAATGTGGTCGAATACAACACTCGTATTGGAGCAGATACTGGAGGAAATAATCAGAAGTGAACATTTGACAAAATGGTGTAAAAAATGTTTGTCTTTGCCAGACTTAGATCAATTGTAATAACTCGTTTTCATAAGTTTCTGTAGAGAAGGACTCGACTTTTAAGTGGTGATGTCGTGATTTTATTTTTTATTAGAAACCGGAGAATTTTTATTTACAGCAACAGCATTCTTGTCAACATCTAATATGAGAGTTTTTTAAAATGTTTACAGTAACAACAATTTCGTCAACATCCAATGTGACAAACATTACCCAACTGTCCGACACAAATGGCGGAGAGCTATTGCTCAAGTAAGTTTTTAGAAACCATAGTCTCATAAGCCCCTTACAGACACAAGTCACATCATTGATATCTCAGACACACTGAAACCCTACAAGAAACCAAATAGACACATGAAACCCTACAAGAAACCAAATAGACACATGCATAACTAGAAGAAACAAAATAGACACATGAAACCCTACAAGAAACAAAATAGACACATGCATAACTAGAAGAAACAAAATAGACACATGCATAACTAGAAGAAACAAAATAGACACATGAAACCCTACAAGAAACCAAATAGACACATGCATAACTAGAAGAAACAAAATAGACACATGAAACTACAAGAAACCAAATAGACACATGAAACCCTACAAGAAACCAAATAGACACATGAAACCCTACAAGAAACCAAATAGACACATGAAACTACAAGAAACCAAATAGACACATGAAACCCTACAAGAAACCAAATAGACACATGCATAACTAGAAGAAACAAAATAGACACATGAAACCCTACAAGAAACCAAATAGACACATGCATAACTAGAAGAAACAAAATAGACACATGCATAACTAGAAGAAACAAAATAGACACATGAAACCCTACAAGAAACCAAATAGACACATGCATAACTAGAAGAAACAAAATAGACACATGAAACCCTACAAGAAACCAAATAGACACATGCATAACTAGAAGAAACAAAATAGACACATGAAACTCTACAAGAAACCAAATAGACACATGAAACCCTACAAGAAACCAAACAGACACATGCATAACTAGAAGAAACCAAATAGACACATGAAACTCTACAAGAAACCAAATAGACACATGAAACCCTACAAGAAACAAAATAGACACATGAAACTACAAGAAACAAAATAGACACATGAAACCCTACACGAAACCAAATAGACACATGAAACCCTACAAGAAACCAAATAGACACATGAAACCCTACAAGAAACCAAATAGACACATGCATAACTAGAAGAAACAAAATAGACACATGAAACCCTACAAGAAACCAAATAGACACACGAAACCCTACAAGAAACCAAACAGACACATGAAACTCTACAAGAAACCAAATAGACACATGCATAACTAGAAGAAACAAAATAGACACATGAAACCCTACAAGAAACCAAATAGACACATGAAACCCTACAAGAAACCAAATAGACACATGAAACTCTACAAGAAACCAAATAGACACATGCCACCCTAGAAGAAACCAAATAGACACATGAAACTCTACAAGAAACCAAATAGACACATGAAACTCTACAAGAAACCAAATAGACACATGCCACCCTAGAAGAAACCAAATAGACACATGAAACTCTACAAGAAACCAAATATACACACTGAAACCCTACAAGAAACCAAATAGACACATGAAACTCTACAAGAAACCAAATAGACACATGAAACTCTACAAGAAACCAAATAGACACATGAAACCCTACAAGAAACCAAATAGACTCATGAAACTCTACAAGAAACCAATCTTTTCAGCAACCACTCAGTCACATGAACCCCTCACAGAAAACACACACTCTAGAACCCCACACAAAACCCTCACAGAAAATAAAATGAAGCATTATAGATAACTTTTCTTATGTGGCGTGGCAGTGCTTTGATAATAAATGTGTAAAAATGTAACTTGATGTTTGAGCTGTGTGTTGATGACTTGCAGTAAAGTTCAGCTAGACATGGTTTGTTTGTGCTATCTATGTGTTGATGACTTGCAGTAAAGTTCAGCTAGACATGGTTTGTTTGGGCTATCTATGTGTTGATGACTTGCAGTAAAGTCCAGCTAGACATGGTTTATTTGGGCTATCTGTGTGTTGATGACTTGAAGTAAAGTCCAGCTAGACATGGTTTGTTTGGGCTATCTGTGTGTTGATGACTTGAAGTAAAGTCCAGCTAGACATGGTTTGTTTGGGCTATCTGTGTGTTGATGACTTGAAGTAAAGTCCAGCTAGACATGATTTGTTTGAAAATCTTCAGACTGTCCACAGAAGTGCTGCTGACAACATCGGATGTCACATCTAAATCTATATGTGTTGTCTCAGACAGTGACGTCATCATTCTGGCAGTCTCCATTCTACAGACGTAAGTTTATTTCTGTCGTCAGCTGTAACAAGACCATTCAGCCCTTAAGTTCTGCTTGTTTAGTTGCCAGTTATAAACATCGGATTCTACTTTAGTTGCCAGTTATAAACATCAACTTCTACTTTAGTTGCCAGTTATAAACATCAGGATCTGCTTTAGTTGCCAGTTACATACATCAGGTTCTACTTTAGTTGCCAGTTATAAACATCGGATTCTACTTTAGTTGCCAGTTATAAACATCAGGTTCTACTTTAGTTGCCAGTTATAAACATCAGGTTCTGCTTTAGTTGCCAGTTATAAACATCGGATTCTACTTTAGTTGCCAGTTATAAACATCAGGTTCTGCTTTAGTTGCCAGTTATAAACATTAGGTTCTACTTTAGTTGCCAGTTACAAAGATATGATTCTGCTTTAGTTGCCAGTAACAAACAACTGATTCTGCTTGTTTAGTTTCTGCTTGTTAAAAACATTAGGGTTTTATTTGTTTAGTCACTTTTAAAACAGGATTTTCCATCTTTAGTTTATAGTAAGGTTTATGACCTAGTACCCTTTCAACTTACGCCGGCAAAATGAAGAGCAGAAAGAAACTAAAACATTACATTTACATTACAATAAAATAACATTGCTTTTCAATATTGGATATTGATCTAAGTTTTATCAATTTGCCATGCCCATTTATCAAATATTTATGATGTATCGATTCTATTAATTGTTTTATTTTAAAAAAAAGTATTTTGCTTATAAAATTCTAACAATTTTTAAAACTGTCAGTGTCTCTATTCATAATAAAATGTGATGAGATTCTCTTATATCTCTTAAGTAATAGTCGAGCTTTGTGAAAGTGGTATAGTGGTATTTCGAATTTTGCAAGATTAGAATACTCCTCACTATACAAAAAAAAAATGAAAGCTACCCTACTGTTTTGTTATATATGTGATTAGTTAAGACTTGACTGTTTTCCTTACGGCTCTCTCCACTGATATCTGGGTGTCCGTGTCATCATCAGAGCGACCCTAAATTCAGCCGGGACATTTCAAGTGTTTCCTGTCTCCGACTTGAGCTCTCGCTACGTGGCGGTCACTACCTGTAAGATCTACGAGTGTTTTCTCCTGGTCGTCAGTGCCTGGAAAAAGGTCACGGTTAAAGTCTCCTTGACCTTATCAAGTAACACATCAGCAACGCCGTCCTTAACCTTCAAAGCAACCACCTACTTTAATGGTGACGTCATTCAGCAGACGCTGGAAGGTTGGTTTCTTCTTTAAAAACATTTCGAGAAAAAATAGGTGTGTGGCAGGAGGGTATATTCTAAATCATTAAATAATAGTTAGAATATGCGTCTTTTTCTTTTTTTTTCAACAAGGTCATCAATAGGTGGCATCGCATTTTTTTTTACTAATTATACCCGTCTACCATCCCACGCCCCTCCCCACACACATACCCATTGTAGCAATTTGTCGCTGTCACAGCCCTAACACATTATAAGTAAAACGTCTTGTACATTTTTGTATCAATACGCCATTCAAAACAAGTCTAAAGCAATATCATTGATCTACCATGAATCGTCGGTATTTTAACCCACAAACTAATGGTATCGATTAACTTTCTACGATGTGACATTGAGTGGCTACCTAATATTTGGTTACTTGGCATGTATTCGTGTACTTGAGGCTAATGTTGTTACACGTGATTGCAGGCATCGCCTTTCTTTGATTTTAACATTCTGTGTGTGTAGCTGTAATTGTTTACATGTGTGTAGCTGTAATTGTTTACATGTGTGTAGCTGTAATTGTTTACATGTGTGTAGCTGTAATTGTTTACATGTGTGTAGCTGTAATTGTTTACATGTGTGTAGCTGTAATTGTTTACATGTGTGTAGCTGTAATTGTTTACATGTGTGTAGCTGTAATTGTTTACATGTGTGTAGCTGTAATTGTTTACATGTGTGTAGCTGTAATTGTTTACAGCTATAGAAAAAACTCAATACCAAACCTCTGTCGTGTTACAATCTCATTAGTTTTAGTAAGAAGACGGTGTCTTTTGTGAGGAATAGTAAAAGGGTAAATATATTTTTGTTGCCTCGTAGATAAAGATGGTTGACAAATAAAGTAACACACAAAGTGAGATTTGTATTACGTTTTGAACTGATTAAATGCGAATTGAACGATTGCTTCTTTGCCGGTACAACATAAAAACATGCCTCAATGAATGACTCGTGTCGTTGATTCTTGACATTTGATTCGAAGGTTGATGGGAGTATTATTAATTGATTCAACTCATTATATAAACTTTTCGTACTTAATTACGAAAAAATACAAATACAATTATATTTCACAATTTATCAGGACATGATACGAGCTTTATATTAGTTGAATTCAAATGAGGTATTTCTGGTCATACGGCGGTATCTGTAGGGGATGATACATTGATGTTTTACACCATCAGACTTGCATCAAAGCTTTAAACTAATGTTAACATTCGCATTCTTTTCCAGCGTTTACGGCGTTACAAATTCTCTCCATGACCTTTGACCTATCGGGAACTTCAGTCCAGAGCTCTGATGTAGTGGCTGTCATCAGTGGAGGCTGCTTCACCACTATGGGGGACAGCGGCTATCACGTAATTCTGGGGGAGGGAGGGGGAGAGAGGGGATAGCGGCTATCACGTAATTCTGAGGGAGGGGGGAGGGGGGGGGACAGGGTCTATCACGTAATTCTGAGGGAGGGGAGGCAGAGGCTATCACGTAATTCTGGGGGAGGGGGGGTGGGGGGGGGACAGCGGCTATCACGTAATTCTGGGGGGGGGGAGGGGGGGACAGGGTCTATCACGTAATTCTGAGGGAGGGGAGGCAGAGGCTATCACGTAATTCTGGGGGAGGGGGGGGGGTGGGGGGACAGCGGCTATCACGTAATTCTGGGGGAGGGAGGGGGAGAAGGGAGGGGGACAGCGGCTATCACGTAATTCTGGGGGAGGGGGGGGACAGCGGCTATCACGTAATTCTGGGGGAGGGGGGGACAGCGGCTATCACGTAATTCTGGGGGAGGGAGGGGGGGGGGGACAGCGGCTATCACGTAATTCTGGGGGAGGGAGGGGGGGGGGGGAGGGGGGACAGCGGCTATCACGTAATTCTGGGGGAGGGGGGGGGGCAAAGTCAATCACGTAATTCTGGGGTGGGAAGGGGGGGACAGCGGTTATCACGTAATTCTGGGGGAGGGGAGGCAGAGACAATCACGTAATTCGGGGGGAGGGGGGGGGAGGACAGCGGATATCTCGTAATTCTGGGGATATTTTCACTTCTGTAATTATGCTAACCGTATTGATTAGGTAATCATTCAAAATCCAATCCTTATTTAGTAGATTTATTCATTTAATTTGTTTTATTTTAGCACCAAGAGGCAGTTTGGTTTTTGGGTAAAAATGTGTGGATGCTAAGGAAGGGGTTGTGTATGAAACATTTCTTAATAAAATGGGGTTGTTCCTCTAATTATGCTGATAGTAAGACTTGGTACGGGTAAATATTTCACTCGTTATACTATCATTTGCTGATGTTCTCTTAGGATCACATGGTAGAGATGGTACCGCCCATGTGGATGTTGGACAATGTGTACTTTATAATTGGCTACACGGTGCTGACCACAGTGACCTACGTCAAGGTGGTCTACACGGAGCCCAACACAACCCTCAGCTACAACAAGACTCTCTTCAGCCTATACCGTGATTACGTCCCTTGGCGAGAGCTGATTCTTAAGTCTCACTCAGCGGTTATTTCAGCCAGCAGGCCAGTGCTGGTCAGTCTGTCTGCCACACGGGGTAAGTGCTGGTCAGTCTGTCACACGGGGTAAGTGCTGGTCAGTCTGTCTGTCACACGGGGTAAGTGCTGGTCAGTCTGTCTGTCACACGGGGTAAGTGCTGGTCAGTCTGTCTGTCACACGGGGTAAGTGCTGGTCAGTCTGTCTGTCACACGGGGTAAGTGCTGGTCAGTCTGTCTGTCACACGGGGTAAGTGCTGGTCAGTCTGTCTGTCACACGGGGTAAGTGCTGGTCAGTCTGTCTGTCACACGGGGTAAGTGCTGGTCAGTCTGTCTGTCACACGGGGTAAGTGCTGGTCAGTCTGTCTGTCACACGGTGTAAGTGCTGGTCAGTCTGTCTGTCACACGGGGTAAGTGCTGGTCAGTCTGTCACACGGTGTAAGTGCTGGTCTGTCTGTCACACGGTGTAAGTGCTGGTCAGTCTGTCTGTCACACGGTGTAAGTGCTGGTCAGTCTGTCTGTCACACGGGGTAAGTGCTGGTTAGTCTGTCTGTCACACGGGGTAAGTGCTGGTCAGTCTGTCACACGGGGTAAGTGCTGGTCAGTCTGTCTGTCACACGGGGTAAGTGCTGGTCAGTCTGTCTGTCACACGGGGTAAGTGCTGGTCAGTCTGTCTGTCACACGGGGTAAGTGCTGGTCAGTCTGTCTGTCACACGGGGTAAGTGCTGGTCAGTCTGTCTGTCACACGGTGTAAGTGCTGGTCAGTCTGTCTGTCACACGGTGTAAGTGCTGGTCAGTCTGTCTGTCACACGGTGTAAGTGATGGTCAGTCTGTCTGTCGCACGGGGTAAATGCTGGTCAGTTTGTCTGTCACACGGTGTAAGTGCTGGTCAGTCTGTCACACGGGGTAAGTGCTGGCCAGTCTGTCTGTCACACGGGGTAAGTGCTGGCCAGTCTGTCAGTCACACGGTGTAAGTGCTGGTCAGTTTGTCTGTCACACGGTGTAAGTGCTGGTCAGTCTGTCTGTCACACGGGGTAAGTGCTGGTCAGTCTGTCTGTCACACGGGGTAAGTGCTGGTCAGTCTGTCTGTCACACGGGGTAAGTGCTGGTCAGTCTGTCTGTCACACGGTGTAAGTGCTGGTCAGTCTGTCTGTCACACGGGGTAAGTGCTGGTCAGTCTGTCACACGGTGTAAGTGCTGGTCTGTCTGTCACACGGTGTAAGTGCTGGTCAGTCTGTCTGTCACACGGGGTAAGTGCTGGCCAGTCTGTCACACGGGGTAAGTGCTGGTCAGTCTGTCTGTCACACGGGGTAAGTGCTGGTCAGTTTATCACACGGGGTAAGTGCTGGTCTGTCTGTCACACGGGGTAAGTGCTGGTCAGTCTGTCTGTCACACGGGGTAAGTGCTGGCCAGTCTGTCAGTCACACGGTGTAAGTGCTGGTCAGTCTGTCTGTCACACGGTGTAAGTGCTGGTCAGTCTGTCACACGGGGTAAGTGCTGGTCAGTCTGTCACACGGGGTAAGTGCTGGTCAGTCTGTCTGTCACACGGTGTAAGTGCTGGTCAGTCTGTCTGTCACACGGTGTAAGTGCTGGTCAGTTTGTCTGTCACACGGTGTAAGTGCTGGTCAGTCTGTCTGTCACACGGGGTAAGTGCTGGTCAGTCTGTCTGTCACACGGGGTAAGTGCTGGTCAGTCTGTCACACGGGGTAAGTGCTGGTCAGTCTGTCTGTCACACGGTGTAAGTGCTGGTCAGTCTGTCTGTCACACGGTGTAAGTGCTGGTCAGTCTGTCTGTCACACGGTGTAAGTGCTGGTCAGTCTGTCACACGGTGTAAGTGCTGGTCAGTCTGTCACACGGGGTAAGTGCTGGTCAGTCTGTCACACGGGGTAAGTGCTGGTCAGTCTGTCTGTCACACGGTGTAAGTGCTGGTCAGTCTGTCTGTCACACGGTGTAAGTGCTGGTCAGTCTGTCTGTCACACGGTGTAAGTGCTGGTCAGTCTGTCTGTCACACGGGGTAAGTGCTGGCCAGTCTGTCACACGGGGTAAGTGCTGGTCAGTCTGTCTGTCACACGGGGTAAGTGCTGGTCAGTCTGTCACACGGGGTAAGTGCTGGTCAGTCTGTCTGTCACACGGTGTAAGTGCTGGTCAGTCTGTCTGTTACACGGGGTAAGTGCTGGTCAGTTTGTCTGTCACACGGTGTAAGTGCTGGTCAGTCTGTCTGTCACACGGTGTAAGTGCTGGTCAGTCTGTCTGTCACACGGGGTAAATGCTGGTCAGTTTGTCTGTCACACGGGGTAAGTGCTGGTCAGTCTGTCTGTCACACGGTGTAAGTGCTGGTCAGTCTGTCTGTCACACGGGGTAAATGCTGGTCAGTCTGTCTGTCACACGGTGTAAGTGCTGGTCAGTTTGTCACACGGGGTAAGTGCTGGTCAGTCTGTCACACGGGGTAAGTGCTGGTCAGTCTGTCTGTCACACGGTGTAAGTGCTGGTCAGTCTGTCTGTCACACGGGGTAAGTGCTGGTCAGTCTGTCTGTCACACGGGGTAAGTGCTGGTCAGTCTGTCACACGGGGTAAGTGCTGGTCAGTCTGTCTGTCACACGGGGTAAGTGCTGGTCAGTCTGTCACACGGGGTAAATGCTGGTCAGTCTGTCTGTCACACGGGGTAAATGCTGGTCAGTCTGTCTGTCACACGGGGTAAGTGCTGGTCAGTCTGTCACACGGGGTAAATGCTGGTCAGTCTGTCTGTCACACGGGGTAAATGCTGGTCAGTCTGTCACACGGGGTAAGTGCTGGTCAGTCTGTCACACGGGGTAAGTGCTGGTCAGTCTGTCTGTCACACGGTGTAAGTGCTGGTCAGTCTGTCTGTCACACGGGGTAAGTGCTGGTCAGTCTGTCACACGGGGTAAATGCTGGTCAGTCTGTCTGTCACACGGGGTAAATGCTGGTCAGTCTGTCTGTCACACGGTGTAAGTGCTGGTCAGTCTGTCACACGGGGTAAGTGCTGGTCAGTTTGTCTGTCACACGGGGTAAGTGCTGGTCAGTCTGTCACACGGGGTAAGTGCTGGTCAGTCTGTCACACGGGGTAAGTGCTGGTCAGTTTGTCACACGGGGTAAGTGCTGGTCAATATGTTTTTCACACGAGTTATGTGTCGGTCAGTGTCGGCACACAAAAAAGACGTACGTCAATTTACATTTGACCTATACCCTATACCGACGCATTCCCAAATTTCCTCTTTTCCATGATCCACCAACCTCTCCCCGTCACTTTATTGCTCGTGTGTGTTGATCTGTTTGTGTCACATGACGTGATCTACTGACTTATTCAATGAATTACTGAACATTTTGTTAATCACATGTCGCGATCTACTGACTTATTCAGTGAATTGCTTAATATTTTGTTAATCACATTTCATCATCTACTAACTTATTCAATGAATTACTGAACATTTTGTTAATCACATGTCATGATCTACTGACTTATTCAAAGAATTGCTGAACATTTTGTTAATCACATGTCATGATCTACTAACTTATTCAATGAATTACTGAACATTTTGTTAATCACATGACGTGATCTACTGACTTCATTGAATGAATTACTGAACATTTTGTCAAAATTAAACTACAGCTTCAGCATCAATGGGCGTGACCTTCGCTGGTTCCTTATATGGAATAATTAAATATCCCTGACAAAAGTTACATTAACACGTTATAGTTTAATGAATTTGTGTACCATAGTTCACATATTTGCATTAAAAATCTTCCACTATTTCCTGACCATTGCCATATCTATCAGTTTCAGGTAACTTTGATCCAGCGGCTGTGATAATATTACCTGTCAAAATGTGGATCAATCAATACAGTCTATCGAATTTTAATGACACGTTTGATGTCAGTCTTGTCATAGCTACATTTGCAGCCTGTAATTCCTCATTTCACGTAAGTCTAGCACTTTCATATGTAAGTCTAGCAGGGTTTTATATTCAAGTCTAGCACGTTTAATACAAGTCTAGCAGGGTTTTATATTCAAGTCTAGCACCTTTAATATAAGTCTAGCAGGGTTTTATATTCAAGTCTAGCACCTTTAATATAAGTCTAGCAGGGTTTCATATTCAAGTCTAGCACCTTTAATATAAGTCTAGCAGGGTTTTATATTCAAGTCTAGCATGTTTAGTATAAGTCTAGCAGGGTTTTATATTCAAGTCTAGCACGTTTAATATAAGTCTAGCAGGGTTTTATATTCAAGTCTAGCATGTTTAGTATAAGTCTAGCAGGGTTTTATATGTAAGTCTAGCACGTTTAATATAAGTCTAGCATGTTTTTACGTGTTTTATTAAATGGCTAATTATGTCTTTAGGGTTCATAGATTTTGTCTGAGTATGTTTCTCAATCTAACCCTGTCAATTGATGTCCGACATTTATTACTTTATCCATGTAACGGTGACAATATCTATTTCTCTATCCATCTTCAGATATCTGGAGTCAATAACTCTACCTTCACGTGGGAGCTTGATTCATCGCTAGAGTACAAGTTCTGTTACCTTAGCAACATGACGTCTAAAAAAATCAGCCTAGAAAATCTTGATTGTGTTTTTGGTGGGTATGTAGTGGGCACTGCTTTTAACATAGGATACGCCTTTTCCTTCGGCATTAATTCGTCGGTGAGTTCATGCATGTTGTTGTTGTACATATATTTTTTTAATATACAGAATACAATATTGTCATGAAGCATATGCTTTGATATATTAAGTTAAATGGTATTTCATGTAAAAGTGATTACTGGTTGGAAAAGATCTCCACAAAGAATGTGGCCTACATTTTTTCAACTTCGATTTTATTTTTAATTTGATGCTATGTCTCGCACAAAACGAATTGCCAATAGCACGATAGGCCTACTCTAGAAAACCTATTTTAACATCCTACAGAAAGCGGAGAAAGCTCCTCCAAAGTCAATGACAGATCTAGCGTCCAGCGAGACATCTCTGTCTACATTGCTGCCCAACTTCATGTCCAGTGAGTTGACCATAGCGGACACTACTGTCTTTGACTGGAGTCCTGTTTCAAGCACACCGGCGTCATTGCAGCCTAGTTCTACTCTCTACCTACCCAGCTCTACTCTCTACCTACCCAGCGTTACCATAACAATGACACACACGCATACCTACACACCAGCTGTGACTGTATCAGCTGACCCTGACCCCACCGACAGCCAATCACCATCAAGCTTGACCCCACCTCCAGAGTCCAGCTGTAGCACAGTGCCAGCCACACAGCGCATGGGTCCGGCTCTGACTAGCCAGTGTCCTTGTGTGTGTAAGGCCAAGCTGGACAACTTCAACCAACACTCGGCTCTGGTCAGCTGGAGGAAGAGGCTGGAGGAGGAGCTATTGGTGGACAAGAGCGAGTTGTACTCGACCTGGCTGAAAAAAAACTCGGTTGAAAATGTGACAAAATCAGCCAAATACATGGGCAGTACTTTATGCTGCATCTTTTTATGTCTTATATTTGGTGTTATTCTGGCTCTAGATTTAACAAAAGTTATTTTATATTTATGCACGCTATCAAAATCCAGAAGGAAAGATTCTAAATCCTACTAAATATAGATGCTGTAATTTTTTTACTTCATTAAAAAGATTCCATTTATCTCCACTCATTTAATGGATTTGTTGCGTTGATATGCTTTTAGTTAATTGGTTGTGTTGATACAATATTTATTTTTGAGCGTGTCTGTATTCATACAGTCGATCCAGACCAACTTACCTATTTTAAATAATCAATAATGGAAAAGTTCACTTATTAGTGTATCGATACACTAATGTATTCAGTTAGAAATATTCATTGCTTTTAAGTTCTATACTAAAAGCAGTTAAAATAATAAATATTTTCTTTTTAAAAATATAGCTCATGTGCTACAATTGTTGCTAAAATCAAATTAATCAATAATGGAAAGTGATTGAATAAAATCTTAAAATAACTTAAGCTCGAGGCTATTTGATCTCATTGATCTTCCAAATCTAAGAAACTCATCATACAATAGTGTTTGCAAATGTATATATATATATATATATATATATATATATATATATATATATATATATATATATATATATATATATATATATATATATATATATATATATATATATATATATATATATAAGGGGTCATCCATTTATGACGTCCACAAAAATTTGGGATTTTAAACCCCCCTCCCCCTTGTCCACACGCGTCCACTTCCGACGACCACACCCCCTCTATTGTGGACGTCCACAAAAATTTAGTAGACCTCTCAATACATGCTGCAAAATTACTAATACATTAACTAATAATGTAATATACGGATTCTATATTTTTGGTAACATCTATTATTAGGCGTAAATAATAATAGGGAGTTAAACTTTTCCAAGATGTCCTAAGTCTACGGTGTGTTAACTGATCGTGTGAATGTGCTAAGACTATCTAAAATTGTTCTTTATTGAAAGAATGATCGCGCACGGACGCTGTGTACCTTGCCTCTAGATTTTAAAGGTTTTTTTACCTACTATTTCTTATAAATATTAGGAGATTGCAGGCAGTCATGCATCTTTCTTTTTTAATTAAAGATACTGTGGACCGAACTCATTTGTGGCAGTCTAACTATCAACGACTTTATGGGTTGGGTTAATTCGACTAATCAAAGTGACGTCATTATATTACTTTTACTCAACTTTACGCTGCAGGTGTTTCCATAACAGACCGCCTCTCCCCCATTTTTGTGGTCGCGCTGACCGTTAGCCCTACACACCTGACTCGCTTGTAAAAAAAATATCGCTTTTTTTCTTAGGCAGGTAGTAAACAGTTACATTACTGCACTGACGTAGCGAGGTCGGGTGTAACCCGGTGCGGCACTTAATGGTGTCATCCCCCAGAGGCGTAGCGACCCTTCCCGGGGACAAACTTTCAAGTTTTCGATTTGCCCCTCCCCCCTCAAACTTTCAATTTCCAACCCCCCCCCTCAAGTTTTTCTCTATATATTTTGCTATTTTTTGCCTTGGTGCCACCCCCCTAAATGGTGTCACCCGGTGCGGTCCGCACCCCCGCCCCCCCCCCCCCCCTCGCTACGCCCCTGCATTACTGATACATTTACCAAGAGAACTGCCGATTTAATGTATAATCTACATTTTATATGCATTTTTAAAATTTAATTTTAAAATGATCAAATGTAAGTATTTTGTGGTTTAATTCCGCATGTGGACGTCCACATTGACCTGCACGAACCCGAAAAAAAAATCCTAAATACTGTAGATATTCTGTTGTGAGATCATTTGTCCTGAGATATTTTGTCCTGAGATCAACTGTCCTATGTGTCCCCATTAATTAGAGTTGTCTTAAAACAAAATTAGAAAATACAAAACAACAGGATCTTTACAAATATCTAGAATAAAGTCTAAATCTACAGATACTAAGCTGTACATAACAGCATCGGCGTGTCGCTAACTTAAGCTCTGGTTTAGAGTTTTTGAAGTTTAATTAGGAAGCTGGTGGTAAACTTGTAGTTAACGATTTTTGTTGCATACTAAGAACGAATATCAGTTTTGCAATTTAATTTTTAAAACACACAGATTAATTATAATTAGAGTATTATTAGACCAGAAGGAAAAGAAGACCAAATAACAGAAGGAACAGAAGACTTAAGTTTTAGATGCCGTAGTTTGTGTGTCTTACACATGTTCTTGGCCAACATCAAAATCAAAGTGTCATATATATAGCTTTTAAACACTGTCAGTTTGCATACCTAAAAATGTCCACATAAAAATATATTGTACGACAATGTTTGCGACGTTCTCTGGACGTGAACCTGCGGCTGTGTGCAGTGTACCGAGAAGTACCTTAGACAATGTTGTACGGACGACGACAAAAGGCACTCATCTCCGGCAAATACACACATCTGTTTTAATATGATCTTCAACACTGGACCGTGGCATCCAATCAATCGACTGGGATTATCCTTGGGGTCTTGTTTCACCATTTCACCGGTCAGCGTCGGGGAGAACGAATCAAATATTAATTCTAAAATGGCATAACAAGATGCTATTGGTTTCTCAGTGAGCACAATTCTCAAAGCTTACTCCTGCATAATTGAAGAAAAGCACGTGCAAATATTTGTACATTTTAAATACAAGATTAAAAATCTTTTCTTACTTAAAAATTCCACAGAAGCTGTAAAGTAAAAAAAAAAGTTTTTCCCTATATCTCTTTGCTTCTTAAATCAATAGTTTTCTCTTACAATAGGATTATATTCTTGCTGGCGTAGTTATGGAAAGTTTCATCTAAACGAATATGCTGAAGCAATTCTTCTTTGCAATCAATATGCGATTGCTGCTAGTTTGTTTGACTGGGCAGTGTCGAGTTTACTGAACTGGTAAAATTCTTCCGCTTACATTTGAACTATACCTGCTGCATTTAGCAGCTTGATTCAAAACCTAGTGAGCAGTTTTTCTTCAGTAGTCACCTGACAGCATTCTAGCTGGACGTTGAGGTTTTGGATTATAACCTCCGATTAAACGTGATCGTAACGAAATGTAAAGAGTACGCTACATTGATTAAAGCAAATTGGGCGCTAATCCGTGAAAAGATTTGGATAAGAAGCATACGAAATTTCCACATATATTATCTTAACCGTGAGGATATAAATAAACTTTCTTTTTTAAAAATTTTTGTTTACTATTTCAACTTGATAATTATCGGAGTGATATAAAAGTATCATTTTAAAACTTTTGTATACTATTTAAACCTAATACTTATTGGAGTGATATAAAAGTAGGCCCCTATCATTTTAAAAGTTTTGTTTACTATTTCAACTTGATACTTATAGGAGTGATATAAAAGTATCATTTTAAAAGTTTTGTTTACAAGTTCAACTTGATACTTATTGGAGTGATATAAAAGTATCATTTTAAAAGTTTTGTTTACAATTTCAACTTGATACTTATTGGAGTGATATAAAAGTATCATTTTAAAAGTTTTGTTTACAATTTCAACTTGATACTTATTGGAGTGATATCAAAGTATCATTTTAAAAGTTGTGTTTACTATTTCAACTTGATACTTATTGGAGTGATATAAAAGTATCATTTTAAAAGTTTTGTTTACTATTTCAACTTATATGATACTTATAAGAGTGATATAAAAGTATCATTTTAAAAGTTTTGTTTACTATTTCAACTTGATACTTATTGGAGTGATATAAAAGTATCATTTTTAAAGTTTTGATTACAATTTCAACTTGATACTTATAGGAGTGATATAAAAGTATCATTTTAAAATTTTTGTATACTATTTAAACCTAATACTTATTGGAGTGATATAAAAGTAGGGCCTTATCATTTTAAAAGTTTTGTTTACTATTTCAACTTGATACTTATAGGAGTGATATAAAAGTATCATTTTAAACGTTTTGTTTACTATTTCAACTTGATACTTATTGGAGTGATATAAAAGTATCATTTTAAAAGTTTTGTTTACTATTTCAACTTGATACTTATAGGAGTGATATAAAAGTATAATTTTAAAAGGTTTGTTTACTATTTCAACTTGATACTTATTGGAGTGATATAAAAGTATCATTTTAAAAGTTTAGTTTACTATTTCAACTTGATACTTATCGGAGTGATATAAAAGTATCATTTTAAAATTTTTGTATATTATTTAAACCTAATACTTATTGGAGTGATATAAAAGTAGGCCCTTATCATTTTAAAAGTTTTGTTTACTATTTCAACTTGATACTTATCGGAGTGATATAAAAGTATCATTTTAAAATTTGTGTATACTATTTAAACCTAATACTTATTGGAGTAATATAAAAGTAGGCCCTTATCATTTTAAAAGTTTTGTTTACTATTTCAACTTGATACTTATTGGAGTGATATAAAAGTATCATTTTAAAAGTTTTGTTTACTATTTCAACTTGATACTTATAGGAGTGATATAAAAGTATCATTTTAAAAGTTTTGTTTACTATTTCAACTTGATACTTATTGGAGTGATATAATAGTATTATTTTAAAAGTTTTGTTTACTATTTCAACTTATATGATACTTATAAGAGTGATATAAAAGTATCATTTTAAAAGTTTTGTTTACTATTTCAACTTGATACTTATTGGAGTGATATAAAAGTATCATTTTAAAAGTTGTGTTTACTATTTCAACTTGATACTTATTGGAGTGATATAAAAGTATCATTTTAAATGTTTAGTTTACTATTTCAACTTGATACTTATCGGAGTGATATAAAAGTATCATTTTAAAATTTGTGTATACTATTTAAACCTAATACTTATTGGAGTGATATAAAAGTAGGCCCTTATCATTTTAAAAGTTTTGTTTACTATTTCAACTTGATACTTATCGGAGTGATATAAAAGTATCATTTTAAAATTTGTGTATACTATTTAAACCTAATACTTATTGGAGTAATATAAAAGTAGGCCCTTATCATTTTAAAAGTTTTGTTTACTATTTCAACTTGATACTTATTGGAGTGATATAAAAGTATCATTTTAAAAGTTTTGTTTACTATTTCAACTTGATACTTATAGGAGTGATATAAAAGT